GAACTGGAGAAACAATTCGAAACAAATCTTTGGAAAGCAACCCCATCCCTCCCTCACCCTCTCTCTCTCCAATTCCAACTTCTCCCTACATCTCTCTCTCTCTCTCTCTCTCTCTCTCTCTCTCTCTCTCTATAATAGACGTGCAGTTTTATTAATCTTTGTTGCCGAAGCATGCAAGATAGTGAAAAGGCAATTTATCTAAGAAAAAAAAGGCACATTGTCCATCATAGAAAGCAAGCGTGGAAGGAGAAGAAAATTAATCATAATCCAGAATATATTCGGAATACTGGTGTATAAAAAGTAATTTTCAAATTATATCTAAGCTAATTAAAATGCCAAACCCTTTCAAGTAAGCTTGGCAGCCACTGATTAGGGTGTGTTACAAATAAGAAAAACAAAACCAGATGAACAACCAAATGCAAGTCGTAATCTGCAGAAGATTAATACCTTCACTAACTAAATGAACCAAGAACGAAAACATCCAAAATTTTATTAATTAAGTACAATCAGCAGAGGAAACTGAATAAATGTCTAAAGTGATACATTGAGATGAGGTTGGTAGCATCAAAATCAGTAATAAAATATGCATAAACCCAATATGCATCAAAATCACTAAAACTTGACCTCACTTGTCAGAATATAAAAATTTCAATTAATATTGTTTCCCAAAATCTTGTTCAAAAAAAAAAAAAAAAACATTCACCTCCAAGGCTCTAACCATATGGCAGGGTGGACTTCCTCTTCCGCATTTAATGGTGAATTGAAGGCCAATGCCAGCGGCAGCCCAAGAGTAAGTACAAACCCGACTGCAGCAACAAAAACACAATTGACTTTCACACTACATAAATAAATAATAAAAAAAACACATACTTGCACCCAATGCATTGTTTTGTTTTTCTGTGCAGTATAAGAATAAAAAAAGATAACATTCCCCTGAAACCAAATTCATCCGCCAATTTATTGCGACAAAGAGGGAGACCAAAATAGATAATCAATAAATTTAACAAAAATGGATTCAACTCACTCCAAGGTAAGCAAGCTTATTAATCATTTTGTCATAGTACAAACAAATCCCGAAATTCGAAACTACCTGTTATCCAATAAAAACCCAAAGAGTAGAAGTTGAAAAAAAAATATATATATATATGCTCTTGAATCGAACACTTCATCAAAATAAGACTGAACTGCCGTTCAACATTGTTTTGGCTAATCAAAGTTAAAACATAACAAACCAATAAAAAAACAGACTGAAATGGAATCCCATGGTCAATGAGGTATCAGATTGTAAACGCTAAAAGTCTAAAATTGTACCTACATAGTATCATCAAAACCTTGCGTATTCATTCACATTATCAAATGGCCAAAATATATATACCTGCAGGAAAGCAATGGAACAATATACCCATTAAAAAGTCACAAAAAGATTTTCAGAAACTGTCCCAACTATTATAATTATATGGTTCTATTGGCATATCTAGACTTCAAAATTGATAGAGAAGCTAATTTATCAAACAAAATAATGATAGAGAAATTATTAACTGTGCCCTGCAATTTTCAACAGGAAAAAAAAATCAAATACTCTGTCTAACCACAATTCACAAAAGCCATTTTCCTAGAAAATTGGTTAATCAAAATAATGTACAAATATTTATTAGTGACACGCCATAAAATTGCAACAATAATCGGGCTTCTTAACTGAAAAGCAAGAGGTCAAAATTTCACAAAGAAAAAAAAATAACCCTAGCTATAAAGAATGTAGAAATGTTCAACCATGACATGACCTTATATTATTCCATAACCCAACTTAATATCAATCCACAAAGTGGAATTATAATGCTTACTTGTCACAGAGGGCATATGCTACAATGAAGGCATGTGGCCAAACTTAGTGAGTTGCAGCACCTAGCAGCTATCTACATACCAGAATAAGGATTTTGGAGATGATAGCAGCTTTCGGAAAGACTCAAAATCAAAGATTGACCTGGAAAATGTGAAATAATCAAGTGAAATTAACATTGTCCTGATAATAAGCTAAGAAAATCATATTCATCATAAATCGGTAACCAAAGTCACAAAGTACGATTCCTCTTACAGTTAAGGACACGTTTTTGTTGTAGCACCAACAAATTGAAAATCATAATCATGATAAACCAGTAATCCGCTTGCATGTTCTTTTCCCAATTTAAACTTCTATCAGTAATTAACCACAAAGAAATACTTTCAGTTCCATAGGCCTTTGAAGGGGTCAAAGCTTTCAGTGCTCACTATTTTCAGATTCGGTAAAGCATGTGATCTTTAAACAATGCTGACAAATAAGTACCCATATACGCTTACAAAAATGATGTATTATCAAGAAGAAATTAGAATATCAAAGTCCTCAACAAAACATGAGGCACAATTATCACAATTAGAAAAATCACTTCTTCCGGTTATAAATACACAAAGGTAGGGAAAATCATAATTGGATCAAATATAAAAGACAAATTTAAAGAAGATGCTCAAGGAAACATTTTATCGTTGAAGATTCGAGAAGGAATATGGTCAAGAACAAAACTATGAGGAATACCAAATATCTCACAGGAACACAAAACTACTTGAATGTACTCTAACGAATGTATATCCAGCATTCTCTAAAAACTATCTCCATCCTACATCATCATCATCTACCCTTAAGCACAACCACTAAAATTGTAAAAGACCTGAAAACCATGATCTACACCACAAATAATACTACTAATCCATAAACCAATCAGTCATCAAGCATGTTCCTTTATCTTTTCCTAATTTGATTGTGTATTTTATTTATTTGCAATGCTCCAAAACAGTGAAATGCACATGATTTCTCTTTTCCTCCTAATCTGGAAAAACAAATCAGTAGCCAATCCCAATATTCTACACGATGTACCACACCACCATTTAGATTCACCATTTCTCACTTTCACCATTTAACGTATTTAGAAAGGTTATTAGGGTGATTTGCTATCTAAGACTCACTTGGGAGTTGGGAGCGAAGTTATAAGTCGCAAGCTCTTGAAATGCAGTAATGAATTTGGATAATACTGGACATGAAAGAAAATATCACATGCACAGCAAGCTACAGCGACAATTAAAAAAAAAAAAAAAGAGATCTTAAGCAAAAACCATGAATCCAACTCAAAAATGAAATCTTCCAAATAACATCTCAAACCATAACCCAAATCAAATGCACCAAATCTCGCATAATCACATCAAGAAATAAATTATACAAATTGACATATTGGTAGAAACCCAACAGAGATTTTAGAGAGAGAGAGAGTACCAGAGGGAGTGAAATACGGTTGTACCTGGAAAGCAAAAAATAAATTATATAAATTAACTCTAACATTTGTTGACTCTAACAAATTGATACATAACAGTTGTTTGGGATATAGATTTGGGTGTACCTGGAAAGATTAAAATTCATCATGGAAGCCTTATTCGTGGAGGACTTGCTCTAGTTCTTCCATAGTGATATACCTGATAATCAGAATGCATTTTGGCAACATTGTTATAAATACGATGTTGATGATGATGAGTTATAACCTTACTCCATGTTATGTATAATTGAAATTTAAGAGCATTATGTAAAAGATATATATAAAAAAAAAGCCCATCTATTATGATCTCTGCATACCCTTGCTGTCTCGTAGGAGAAGCCGATGAACAGTGGCAGTAGCCACTGCACAGTGAAAGGCAATCGCCTGTGTGTCCTGAGCAGAATGGAGGGAGTGGGTGGTTCTGTGGTGATGTTTCGACGGAAAATGGAGGCGTTGGTGCGCCGTGTGTCCTTGATCATGTTCTTCGTTGGTATTTGTGAGAGGAAGAAAGTGAGGTTTGAGAGCGGAGGAACTGAAGGGGAAGGAATTCATTTGCAGTATGAAGGGGATCTGGGGATGAGAGTTAGAGGCTGGGCCTACTGATTTGCGGAGCTTCTGTGTGAAGGGGAAGGATTTGCAAATCCCTGAAATCCCTCTCTCTCGCTCTGTCCCCGTCTCTCTCTCCCTCTATCTCAGAAGCGGCATGGCCTCCTGTCGAATGACAACAAACCTAAACCCACCCATGCCAGGATCCCTCTCCCTCTCTCTCTCTCTCTCTCCCTCTCCCTCTCTATCGGCGACATGGCCTCCCATCCCCGAAACCTTCACTGAATGACAGCAAACGTAAACCCACCCCAATCCGTCTCAAACAAACAGGACAAAATTGCCCTTCCAACCCAGCCCCAATATCAGCCCAAACCTGACGGCTTTGTTGTAAATAGCGTGAAATCGAGTGGCTCCCTGATAAGCCATATGGACAAAATTACCCTCTGAAATTTTGAGAATTACCCTCCCATTCGGCTGGTATTGTTGCATGGCTTTGTTGTAAATAAAGCAAAATCAAAACAAAGGTGAATAGCGCCTGCCCTCCCCCCTACTTTAGAATAGATAATTTTTGTTGGCCTTGTTATATCTTGTATTGGTTGTTCGAAGTTTTGTTTGTTACGAGTGTTATCATGGTCAATGTTAGGCTTTATGTCCCCCTTGACAATTTGTATTTTCCGTATTTTTAATAAAGATACCTCATTGTCACTTCTCATAATAACAATGCTAAAGTAGGATTAACTTTGTGGTTTTAATGAAAAAAAAAGTTAAACTTGGTCTGATTTTTTTAAGTTTGGTTTAGCACTCAAAAACATGATTACATGTGACGCTTAATGTATCATCATCTAAACATTAAACATCTCTCACATGCTATGTTTGGACGAGGAATTTACATGACCCAGGAGATTTATCTCAAGTTATAAAGAAATATACCGCCAAATGTGACATGAACAGAATTAGAGAAATCCTTCGTGAGCACAAAGACACAGGCATTTTCTTTATGCGACAAGGATCGATATTAATTTTGGGTGACAAAATATTCGAAATGTCATACATTAATTTGAGAAATATAGTTCGTTTAATTATTTTTTCATACAAAGGATCGATAGTGGTGATATACTATTTACCAGTACAAATAACTGTTTGGCATAAAGTTAAAAAAATAAAAAAGGTAAAGGAATCCTGCAATTTCCTTGATCCTCTTTCTGAATGTACAAATAAGAATTACAGAAACATCGTGATACAACATAGACGCGATTTCAAGAGTACAAACATGTCACTCTCGACGCCAAGCTTAACCCCTCCCCGACGTCCCTGGCCCTGTCGTCCGAGAGAAAGAAAACAAAAGAATTGGAGAGAAATGTAGTTTAATTACAATAAGATGACCAATCCCTAAACCTGCAACTGATTGGAGGGGAATGAATTCATCAAGCTTGATGAAGCCTAAAAACCCGAAAAGCTAATTAACGAATTCGAGCAATGTAACAAGTCATCCTCTTAATATTCAGATGACTGCTGCTCATTTTTTGAACTTCTAAGCCTATAAAAGACATTTCCCTTTACATCCATCTGGCGTAAGCTTACACCGCAACCCTTGGGAGTTTAGTGCGCGATTTAAGTTTGGGGCTGGACAAGAAACTGCGCGCAGGTATAACCAGACAAGGATGATGGAAGTTCGATTTCTGAAGGATCGCTTAGAGGAATTGCCTTGTCGATATCTTCAGTCGAGAATGGAATGCTGCAATGAGAAAGTTTAAGTAAATAGGATAAGGTTTTCAATTCTGTTTTTTATCAGACGAGAAGCAATACTTGTTTTGTATGCAATTAGATGAGATAATTGGACGAGAAACGGATTACCTCAGATCATCATCCAACAAGAACGAATTGGAGGTCAGATTCTGGTTGTCCTTGTTCAAAAGCTCCCTCATTTGAGCAACCACCTGCAGGCAATAACGTTCAGATAACAATGGGACTCCAATCACAAAGTTTACGGAACAACAAAGAAACTAAACATGCAAACATGCCTCGTTGGACACACTCTGAGTGCCGTATTTGTCATCCCAGTACATTGTACTTATTCGGTAGATTTGTCTGACTGTCAATGCCTGTACATTGTTCACAATGCCAAATGACTTAATTTCGGAGGTAAAAACACTTTTCATGAAGCCAGTGACGGGTAAAAGAGAAAATTGAGCCAAACTAAACATGCAAGAGCATCATACCGGACAAAGATCCTGCCTAATTTCGTCGAGAGACTTTTTCCTCTTCTGATGTATTACCTAAACCAAATAGCACAAACAGAAAAGGTTCCTAACTTCTCATAGATTGTACATTTTAAAATTCAAAGAAAATAGCTTTAGCTTGTACCAGAAAACCAACAGCTTGTCTGATATAATTTAGCTCGTGCCAAGAGGTTCCTGCATACTGCATTGCACAAAGAGTCAGACCAACAAATGCATAAAGTCATTTAAACGCAGAACGCTTGCAACATGGTAGTTATATACTTGCCTCCTCCCCGGTGTTGCCAATCCATTTCTCCAGTTCAGCAAGACCTGATTTTACGTATTCACCGTTCGAAAATGTGCAACATTCGCGTCGCAGCAGTAGACTGCCCAGGGAAAGAAAAGGTAGAGTTAATACATAAACCATTAAAAAATCCGTTTATTAGCAATGAAAAGCTGGAATAGCAATAAACTCTTGCCTGTTGAAAAGTGACATATTGATGAAAGAGAAGACCTGTGTGACTAACTTGCGAATAAAAAATGAAGGTACCTGAGTAAAGTACAGTGTTTAGGTCAGAAAAGAATAAGAAAAAGTCAACAAAGGAAATAACAGGGTACAACTGCAACTTCTTATACGCGCTCGAGCGTAATTAATTCTGGGTTTTCACCCATCACGGGGAACTACAAAATAAATATTAAGCTTCAATTTAGCAAATAATTACATGATCTAGATATGAAGCTTTGACATCAACTAATGGAAATTGGTGATTTAGGTGACCAATGCCAACAGTTTTTGCAATACATGATAATATAAAAACAGAAAAGCAATGTAGATTTAAAGAAACAAATCAGAAAAATGTCCCACGTACATGATTCCCACGTAATCGACTCATTAGGGTATCCAAGAATTTGATTATGTTGTCCCACTGACTTCCAGGTAATTGCTGAGGAGCGTTCCCAGGTGATCTAGATGACTTTCGCGCAGCTTTGGGTGCCTTAAAATTTTCCATGAATATTCATAACATGTTAGTAGTATGTAGATCGATCAAACACAGACAAAACAAAATCTATTGGCCAAAAGATAGCATTCAGAAATTAAAATCAAACATTAGGCTTCAGAAAGCCAGCTACAAGAAAATGGAAGTGAGAATCTTCAGGGTTTTTTTTGTAAATCTTCTATATGAATGAGCTGAGCAACAATCCATCCCTTTTCTCCCTTCTATACTTGGGAAGGCTAAAGTACTACCTGACGTATGGGTTCTTGCTCAGATAATTGCTGATGGCAGGTCAATACTTGTGATTGATTCAAAGCAAGAGTTAAATAATTTCTGCCCCCAAGCATTGGTGTCCCATGACTAAAAACGAAGGAAACATTCATTCATTTCTTCTTTGTCACATTGCATTAAATTAACTAAACTATAGCCAGTAACCACTAAAAATGCACACAAACATGAACAAACATTCTGGACCAACTACCATTTTCCCAAAAGCGAACAATAGTAAACGTTGCACCCATACTTTGAATTAGAATCTTTGACCAGATCAGAATAAATCAGATTCACCTGAATGCATGAGCCCAAGAGTGGAGCCAATTCCTTCTTCAAACTGTCGCGCATCAAGCCAAAGATCTTTTCTACACAAGCAGTTAGCTGCTGTTTGAACAATATAGCTGGATATCTTGCTTCAAGATGTGACATACCATCTTCATAACCAATATATTTGAAAGGAGATGTCAGTCCCTGAAAATGAAAGTAGGGGGAGGACATTTAATAAACTACAATGAAATATTGAAAGCAAATCAAACAACATAATAAACTCATAATGATTTTGTAATTGCAACTCAGTAAAGTTCAAGGGAAATCTAAAGAGATTGTTTTTTGGTTGAACATTTGATAAACAGATTACGTATACAAAGAATATATATTCAACAAGCCCATCATTTGATTCTATAACCTACTTGTGCAATCCTGAGAGCTAAAGCAGAAGACCCAGAACGCTGAGTTGCTGGGAAACTATTTGGTCGTAAATTCCTCTGCAAAAGGCATAGAAGCGCTGAGGCATTGGACAGCCAATAGGGCAAGGTTATGTTCTCATCCCCAACCTGAAACAATGGTAGTACAAAAATTTTCAAATATTCTACAACATTCGCAAGTAGTTTATTCAAATTCTAAAAAACCTTAAAAGACATGTAAATTCCACAGTTGATCGAGAATAGCTTTTAAATAATATCTGTATCTCTCCACATAATTTATTTCAGGTACAGTAACAAACATCAGTTCGAGCCTCAAGTAGAAACAAAATCATAAAGCCAAAACAAATTTGACTGAAGCAAGTAAATTACCTTCAGAACTTCATTTATTCCCTCAATTATATGGTCAAAAATAACTGTACGCTCAGACTCAAAGGCATGCCACTGAAGAAGGCATTTGTATATGATACAAGCCGCCAATGGTTTGCTGTCTTTAAACCCCAAATCTTCCTTAACACATCTTGATAGGAATTCATAGTTCTCCTGTACATGTCAAAGAGACATGCTTAAACTTACAAGCACAACTACCCAGAATGGAAATGACAAATAACAGCAGTGAAAGTCCATAAAAAGATTACAGTGGATACCAAAATATAAAGCTAAGGTTCAAATAAACAATAAGGGACAAAACCTGGTGCCTCTCAACTGCTAACTTTGATCGGCGTGATTCTGACAAGACATGTGAAAAGGGTGCAATCATTTTTGTAGGTGTGGGTGACTCCTGCATTAGATGGTATGACACATGAAGAAGATATTCTGCTGTGACGGTTAGATGAAAAAAAAAATCAGAGAGAGGGAGAGAGAGATCATGTCTTACAAATGCAGGCTTCTGTTCAGTGATGGGAATAACCGCACCAAGGTTTTTCTGTTAACATAAAAAATAAAAAAAATACAAAACTAACACTTGAGACTAGACCCACAAATCTATGGTATAAGATTTTATGAAGCAACAAAGTTTGAAACCAGTAAAATCAGACTGCATATAAAGAGGTTTTCAACCTACTGTTTAGATCAAACTGTTTAATCATATGTTGCATGTATATAATCATTTACCTCTGGAAACAACTTTTCAACACCTTGCCGAGTGCTCTTTGCAGGCACACTAAGGGCCTTTTGTCGCATGATAAGATTCTCCTCCTCTAATCCAGAGAGTTTCTCCTCAAGGCTGTAATTTAGATACAATATAGCAAGCATCAATGAAATGTAGTATATTCAATACATAAGACAACATATTTGGAGTGACAATAAATAAATCTAAAACTGATGTACAAAAGTACTTAACAAAGCTGAAATAAACACTTGAAAGATAGCTATGAATTTCGGAAAAACACCTCTTTACATTCTGCTGGAGCTGGTTGCACTTCTGTTCAAATTCATGCAACTTCTGAATGGTGTCTGTACTGTCCTTTCGAGCCTTGAGAAGTTCGGTTTCAAGAGCTGAGTTCTTCTTCTCCAATGCATCCAAGGAAATCTGCAAACAAAAAACATGAGAAATTTTTCAAAGGACACAGCAAATGTCCTAACCATCCCCCTAATGTTGGGAGGGATAGGGTAAAGAAAAAGGAAAACACTCTAAAAAGGAAAGACATGCCAAGAAAAAGAGACAATAGACTTCAGTAAATGTCAAATACCTATGTCAGTCAAGAAAAGCAAAGTTTAACTTGATTTTAAAAAATAATGAAACAATGAGTTCGTAACTTTGTATTTATCAAATCTACGAGAATCCAACTAATTACATCGTGCCTCTAGATTTCCTGCCTGAGATAGATATAATTTCTGAGTAGATAAGATGTAGCGTACAAAATCCCACAAAGTAAAACTGATATAAGAACATAATTTAACAAACATCAGAAAACTCACCTTTAAAAATGCATTTTCCCTTCTCAATTCAGCCATTCCAATGATTTCTCTTTCCAAAGATGATTTTTCTTTCACTGATAACTCCAATTGATTTTGAAGCACTGCATTCTTGTTGCACTCATTAATTGTAGCCAGCTTTGACGCATCTAACTCAAGACTCAAGGATTCCAACACTTTTTGAAGTTTTGAAATTTCTACTGACTTAGCTTCCTCATTAGATACCTGCATTCAATTCAGCTTGCAGTAAGAAAGAAACTTCTGCACACCCATACAACAGTTTGTCAAGTTGCTGAACCAAAAGAAATAAGGTTAAGTCTTGCAACTAATAATTTACAGAAAAGCACATAACACCTTTATAACGATTTTCTGAGGAAATGTGACAAGCATATAAAGCAAATTACAAGTATAAAATGATATGTTGGAATCAATAATTTGCGAACTCACAATATATATAGTTCTTTATCAAGAGAAATTGGCAAGCGCTCAAGCTATTTTATGGAGGTAATGTCAAAACAACCTTCATTTAGTCCATGAGCCATAACATTGCCAATAAGCTACAAACTCTACTGACATACATTTGGCACAAGCAGAGTAATAACAGGAGTGCCCCCAAAACAGGTTACCTAATACCTTAATAGGATGAATCCACAAACCACCCAACACAAAATTTAACACAACTAAAAAAAATACCCGTAATCGTTTCTCAAGTTGTAACCGCCATGTGAGGTCCTCTAACTGCTTCTCAAGTTTACCCTTAGCTAAACGCAAGGCACCGGTTTCATTTGCCTCCTGCAAATAGTAAATAAATAAATAAACATATAAAGGAAATTCTCATGCATATTGTTTCATCAGGAGCAGCAATATAATTTCACTCACTCGTTTAAGCCTTCGGAGCTCTCTCCTTGCTAACTTTCGCCTCCAAAGACATTGTATTGCTACAACAGAAGCTTGGTGATGTTGGAATGCCGAGCGAACCTTGCACATCCTCCACCGAGCCTACAAGAATATATTTTTTGTCAAAACAGAAACAAAGTGGTAAGTGACAGTGACATATCAAGCAGACAACCAGCCAGATAATTATTACAAAGAAGAAATACATTTATGCATGAACAGAACCCAACTTCACAATGAACATATTGCTATTCCTAACAACATTCCACCCACATATAAAAATATTCCAAAAAACCTAAATTTCTAAACAACAGATTCAGAACACATCACTCTACATGCTTGCACAATGCAAATTATTACACAGGAAAAGTCTATGAATTAAGTTTACCTGGATCAAGGTGGCAGCTTTATGTTTCTTTCCATGCAAAAATCTTCGGCGAATTGAAAAACCACGAATATTGGACTGTATGACAGTAGCAGCTGAATATAATTCCACATAAGCACACTTTAATAGCCACCTTCGGACATGTTTCTGTATAAAAATAGCAGCTGCTGCCTCCCGTTTTAAAGTATACAACGCTCGAGCAAGGCATCCTTCAACCATAATAAACATCAAACATCAACAAAAAAATAATAAAAAAGCAAATGTCACGGATCTAAAGAAAGTGTCGGTAATAAGAATTCGCATTTCCCATGGAAGTCTGGCAGAAACATCTGACCTCTGCAAAAAGCTTGGAGTGCAAATGCAGCAGCTCGTTTGGAAACAAAATCTTTGCGAGCAACAAACGTTCGCAATTGACGTTGAATGCGCTTTGCAGCATTGTCCAAAACCTCTGCCCGTCGGGAGTCCAGAACACCAATTTGACCAGCCCTAAGAAATACTTTGGTCCTACCCAACTTCAAGGAAAGAACAACCTTGTCAAATTCTCTGTCAGCAGTAATATAATGTGAATACCATCCTACTGGATCATTCGATTCATACCTGAAAATTCTCTAGCTTTAACTTTTTCAAAATTTTCTCAGTTGTAGATTTTTCATCATAGCTACATAAGCATAGCGAATCAAAGAAGTCATAAGATATTAGAACAAGGGAAATGGAGAAAAAGGAAAGGCTTCAAAGACTTAAAAGAAAAATATTAAAAGCACAAAACAAAATTAGAGAATTAGAACCTTAGTAACACTAGTTTGCAGCACAATAAAAAACGTAAAGTAAATATCTAAAAACATCAAATGTGATAAATATAACCAGAACATCTTTGAAATTTATTAGGCAAAGTCTTCAAGATTAAGGACTATGATGAACCCACCTTCCATCCATGAATTCAGGAGCTAATAATCCAAATCGATCTACAAACTCTGAGTAAGTTCTACGTGTGGGATAACCTGCCAGACTTATCCGAACAGCCTCTAGAACACCCTAAGCGGAATAAAAGAATCATTAGTGTAAAGAACGTGACATCAATAAGAAACACTACACAATGTGGGCGTAAGCAGAAACCTACAAGTACATGAGGTAGAGTGGTTGGGTTCAGGCGTGTGTTACATTGCTTCAGTATTGATAATACAAATAACTCTTCAAAAACTAAGAATACAGATATGACAAAGATATGAAAGATAGCAAAAATCCACATATATGAATTGTTTCTTTCATTTATTATTTATTTTTTGTTTTCGCAGATTCACTTTAAACTTGAAATATCATTCTAATACTCTCTTTAAATGAAAATTCAAATTTTATTTTTAATTTACCCTAAAACCTGAAAAAAAATAGTAGTCAATCCCTGTTTTTTCTGTATGACACCAGATCCAACATAAAGAAACATAAAAATTTTGAACGCACTGACCCCGCAGCGTAATTGATGTAAGATGCTCAAATTCTCAAACTTTTGCGGTCGATTCAATGAGTTCGGCTTAACACAGCGTATGTAATGAGGCTCTGTTGAATTGAGGGTTTCCATAAGTGCTTGAAGTTGTTGCTACAATAACCAAAACAGGAAGGGGGAATTATCAGCTTAAAGACCATCAAACAAGTAATTAAATACAAAGCTTTCAGGAGGGAGTTACATCAGGGAAATAGGCTAATGTTCGAAAGGCAGTAATAATAGGTCAAAGTAAATGATCAGTTGAATACAAGCAGAAATGATAACCACATCGTGAAGCATTATCCGAACAATATCCAACAAGTAGGATTTTGTTGGACGCAAGAGTCGGAGAAAAGAGAAAGGTACAGATTCAACCTAAAGCTATGGACACAAATTCTAAGACCAAATCAGAAAACAATGACATCCTCAAATTGACATTCATTTGTGAAAAAAAGTTCTTAAGCCCAAAATCCTGCAAGACAGCAGACAACAGACATTTTTTTCTTCATTGAACCATAAAGTTTTGAATTAGTTAATGATCTGATGTGAGTTTCTTGAACAGAAAAATCTCCAGCTGGAGCCTTCTCCTATTAAATATCTTTTCATGTATCAGCTTCTGTAGTCTTTTAAGCAGTTGCAACCAATCAACATCGCATCACATATAAGGGACAGAGATGGAATGTACCTTAAATCTAGTGGCCACAGAAGAAAATTTGTACGATGATCTTGAAGATTCCTCAGGTAGCGGACCGAAAAGACCAGCAACAAAAGGGCATTTGGAAGAAGACAACAGATTGCAATGTTCTACGACAACATAATCACGATTCTTATCCAAAAAGGTATCTGTGTGATAAGTAACCTGAACAAATAGTGAATATTATAAATGATCCAATATCAAGATGCTGCACACAAATATGTATTGACATATAATATACCTTTCCAGCATAATGGGACATGGTAAAATCTGTTTCCGAAAATTTTGCCTTTTCCAACCTTTGGTGGGGCCGTAAAAGCTGAAACAACCTGGTTGAAAAACTTTGGTGTGTTGATTTTGGGAACATGCTGAAAAAATAAGAAAATCAGGATAAGGATAAAATTCCAGAAAATACTATATGGAGTAACACGCACCAACTTATAGTGAACTTAATTGTACCAAGCTTCATCCAAGAGAGCAATTATCCCAACAGGTTTCTGCAAATGAATGATTGAGAACATAAGATCCAAGCCTTACAGACTCTCAAGGCATATAAAAACAAAAAACTATAGAAAATAACATTAGGCAAAACATTTATAAAAATGAAGAAATACAGTTATTGTCAACTTCTGCCATGCAATAGGGCTACCAAAACTCAGACTACAATTGCCCGTCATGCATTTTTCCCAAAAGCAGGGTGGTAGCTTCAATGACATATAATTAGTTGTGTCCACTCCTTGCATACATGCTACCACAAATTCCAGAAAATATGTACAACTTCGCGAACATGGTCATTCCTTACCACGTAAATATGACTAGAAATTAGGTCAACTCCTTGCATACATGCTACTATGAAATCAATCCAGGATACTAATTATCCTTTTAAAATCATATAATAAAAGGGAGGGGAGAAGAAGATGGCTTTGCAGCATTTCATAAATATTTGTCAACAAAAAAAAGGAGACAGAATGGGCAAAACCTTCTCAATCAAATCCAGAACATCTTGGTTGTCAATGAATTCAATGTAGCTCCAATCAATTTCCTCTTTGCTATACTCCTCCTGCTCCATCTTGAACACATGCTGGAACAAGTGGGAACGAAGTTAGAATACAATAATTATTAATAACATAAAATGATAAGAGTATGTTAATTTCATAAAACATTAATGCACCGCACACCTCATTAAAGTGTTGCTGTAGCTTCTCATTTGCAAAGTTAATGCAAAATTGCTCAAAACTGTGGAAAAGGAAAACCTAAATTAACCAAAGACATAATGTACAATCGCAAGGATACTCTTATAATAATAGACTAGAGTTTGACTTTTGACAAGACAGAAATAAAACAATAATAATAAGGATGATATAGGATGAAAGAGTAAAACTTGAGTAGAGCGAGACTATGACTATCACCAACTAACAGATCAGCTGGGATGTCAAAAGTCCAATCACCTTATGAATTACAGTGACAAACAAGAAGCAGAAACACACATGACACTAACTCATTTACAATACACATATATACCCTCTGGACAAGTCAAGCAAATTAAGAGCGACATGACCACTTACTATACAAAATTTCAATGGCACTTAGATAGTATTCCAAATCCAAATTTAAGACTCATATATTTAAAATTGAAATAGATATGGGTAAAGATCTCACCTATTGTCCTTAAAGCATTCAAAACCATAAATGTCCAAGACTCCTATTTGCATTTGGGAAGTCGAGTCTTGGCCAACAGATGTATTAATCTTATCAACAAGCCTGTGAAAATATCCAAACCCAAATAAGATAAAGAAGAATCTTCCCAGACGAGTTAAGAAAATGAAGTTCCTGTGGGGAATGTTGATGAAACCATACCAGTCAAACAACCGAGAATAAACAGTCTTTGCCAATGCATCTCTACTAGAAATAGCACCACAACAGTCGAGAGCTTTAACAATAATTCCTTCACGAGTTTGGATTGTACGAGTAGACAGTGTTGCTAATAAGAGGTCCACATCACATGATTTATTAAGCAACTCTAAATTAAATTATCGAATGCAAGTTGTATATATGAGATAGTTTGGGCAGGAACTTTCTTTAGCATGTTCCTATCACAAAATGCAATAGAGTGATTAAGTTACAGGCAACATTCTAGAGATGTATCTCCTGACTCATAATATGCACGGATTGCATTATATAGTCCATGAAGATACTCCCTCAGTAAATTACAAAAAAAAAACAAAAAATCTCTGAATTGAATGTTCACTCATAAAATATTAAAGAAACCGACAGGATATTAAACCATTCAGTTTGTTCAAAGTTAGTAAGGGAAAGTAAAAATTCAAGTTCAAGCTATATAAATCACCTACATGAAAAGTTTAGCAGCCATCTGCATATGAAAGTTCGATTTCTGATCCTTTAGAACTGAAGAGTCGTGCTCTTTCCCAGGAGAAAATTCAATGTTCCCCAAATGCAGAATTGCAGCCAAGGTGCGGAATATTGCTTCCTAAAAAGGTAGAAAAATGAATCTCAGAAACACCCAAGAGCGGAAGTGAAGGGAAAAAAAAGTATTCATCTTAAAGCGCCATCCACTTGGATTAAGTTTTAAACCTGATCTTCACAGCTGATACCAACAATATCCATTGCTGTTCTTGTCTTCGTATACTCTTCTGCACTGCTCACTCCATCAAGTTCATAAGTCTTGCTTTGATTCAGGTAATGGAAGTGGCTTGGGTGGTCTAACTTGTACTTCTCTGCATCCTATACGTATGGAGAATCCAGAGAACAATATCCATGAGCTTCAATAGAGTACACGACTGATGGTCATATGTGAACCATGATGATACATAGAAATGGGTGTAAAAAACACATGTACACACATACAAAACTTGAAACATCCTGGGATGCATAAGGAAAACTTGACGCATGTATACGCACAAACACTCAATGATAAACAGCTAATTGACTATAGATGCTCAGATATTTACAATGGTAACTGTGTGATAAATCCATCCAATCACAGACACAAAGAGTACCTTTCCAGATGCGCACAACTGGTAAAAACAGTGGTAATTCCTTTCAGGATCTGTAATCTGAACAACACGGGATCTTTCCAGTAGATAAGTTCTAATTGCAGCTCCAGATATTCTACCACTTGCATCAAACTGGATCTCAACAAACTTGCCAAAACGACTGCCTCAAAGAAGAATGACAATTGAAGGAAAATCATTTTCACTTCAAAAAGTAAAATGAAAATAAGCATGACATTTACCAAATTGCCAGAAAAACTAAAATCACTATTAGTAGTTAATGATATACTACTAAACTGATGAGCAATTACAATAATAAATATCCCAATTATTGTTGGATACAGTAAACAACAAGTTCATTAATGAATAATGTTATCTATTAAAAAGGGCAGAAACAGTTCAGTAATTTTATTCTATATCCTCCCCTACATCCTCCAATTATAATTACCTTCAAGGTATTTACTTTATACTAAGTAAAAGCCAAGACCTAGTTCTTTTCATTAATCCATACTCTTCCTGCATTGCCCTCACTCTCTGATCTCAATTTTCAACTAACCAGCATAACTTTTACCCCATTCTTTTATCATCAAGAAAGCATACATGTGCCTCAACCGAAAGTGTGAGAATTCAAATTTTTACATACCAAATTAGTGATATTTCAGGAGAAGAATAAACATATAGCACACCTTGAATTGTCATTTCTAACAGTCCTGGCATTACCAAATGCCTCCAAAAGGGGATTCGACTGAACCATGCACCAAAAAGAATCAGTGACACATTAAAGGCAACAAGACAATAAAATTTAAAAACAATTTCTAACAAAAATATAGAAAACTAAATTGACCAATTTTCTCAGTAAAAATGAAGAAGATCAATTCTTTTTCTCAAGTGTTGGACCATGACGAAGACCAAACTGGTCAAAAAAAAATTATTTAACTCAACCATAACTTCTCCGCTGCCAAAATTTAGTGGCAAAATGAAAAACCCTTATCTATAACAGTGTGAATTTATTTCTACTCTTATTCAGAGTTGATATTTGTTTGAATGGAGGTTGATCTTACTTCAAGAACTTGTTGTTCAACAGTTCTCTCATCACCAGCACCAGCAGCTCGGCCTCCTACATAAGTAAGATACTGCATAATCAGTTTCGTCGTTTCAGTCTTCCCAGCTCCACTTTCACCACTGACCAGTATTGATTGGCTTTGTCCATCATTCACCATTGCTCTGGATTACAAAATCCAGAAAAGCTAACTTGAGTCATTCAATGGAATAGCAAAGTACAAAAAAGGTCAAGACTCGATTATCATAAAATTGGCATACCTATAAGACGCATCAGCCACCGCAAAAACATGGGGGCTTAGCTCACCAAATGGAGCTCCCTTATACTGCTCCATCATATGGACATTGTATAGATGGGGAAGCTTTGTGAATGGGTTAACCGCAATCAAAATGCTCCCTGTATATGTCTACCAACGACAAAAGAAAACAATCACTTCAATTCCGAAAGTAGGTCGCGTAAACCAATTTTAATAATATGAAAATATAAAAGGAAAAATTTTTAGTATACCACATTTTCTACGCTGGTTTATGATATTCTCAATTTATCATTATCTCATCTAGAAATGAAGGCGTCAAACATGACAAGTGAAATACCAATTCCATTATAACACTCAATATGATCACTTTCCTATACATTTAACAGCAGTCAATTTAAGTCCTCCCAACTCTCCGGTTGAAATCAAGGATATTTTGGGGTTATACTTAACATCTCTAGAATAAGTCAATTCACGTCAACTCGTCTGCTAGTAAGCCTCATCCAGGGCTAACGGAAAACCAGTAGCACGCCAAGTGTAAGCCATCAATGAGACAATCAATAGCCAATTTGAAAATTTTCGCAAGCATTTAAGCCGATCCACGGATTAACAAATCATCATCAATCCTAGATGACATAGCACAATGTGGCACATAAAAGCCCCTTCACAAACTAGCCGTATCACTCCAATTATACAAATTGCACACAAAAATCGACTCACATATATATCATTGAGAGCGTATCTCCTCTGAAGGTTATACAGCACACCCGGCTCGTTCAAATATGTCAGCTTCGTCATGTCGTCCACTCCGCCATGCTCGTCCTCATCCGCATCCCTCAGAAACAGCTTCTCCGGCAAAGCCAAAACCTACACTCCCAAAACCCCCACAATCAACACAAGAATACCCAAATTTCATACACACTAATCAGTAATTACACACAAAAACCGAGGGCAAACGTTTCACTTCACCTTCTTTCCCGAAGCGGTGACGACCTGGAGCTGCTTCCCCTTCCAGTCGGCGACTTCAGCCGGGACCCAGGCCAAATCCCGGTCCTCGACCCAGACCTTGGAGCCCCGGCGGAGGCTCATCTCGGAGGACCCCCGGCGGAAGATTTCAGTTGCTGACAGAGAACCAGAAACCCTAGAATTCGGTTGGAGAAGACGACAAGCGGCGGAAGAGCGGAATCGAGAGAGGTTTAGAAAGAAACAGAGAAGGACAAAGTAGAGAGAGAAAGTGAGGAGAGAGAGAGAGTTTTGGGTGAAAATTTTGGGTTCCCGCCCTAACAGGTATGGAGTAGGAGTCCGAAATGGCGGAGACCGAGGGTTTAAATTGCGTATTCGACACGTCACCCTCCAACGACTGTGGACGCAGCAGGTAGAGAGAGAGAGACGGGGGGTTGAGGAGAGAGAGAGGGAGAGAGAGGGAGAGAGAATTTGGATAATTTAATGGCGGTATTTACAGAGAGAGACGTTGCGAAATTTCCGGTTTTTAATTTTTGCATTTTGCCGAATCTTTCAATTTCGTTTTCGAGATAAATCGTTTTTTTTTTAAGTACAGATTCTCTCTGTCCGCTGGTTTTATTTGTTTTAAACAAGCAACGAGGGGTAGAGTATCGGTACTTGGATCCTCGCCGGATCCCTCCTGGTGATCCTATAATCAATGCACGTGGATTGTTGATCAAAAATCATACGGTCTCAATTAAATATTTTTTATATTTTTAAAAGTAAAGCAATCTCATTTTGTGTGAAAAATATAAATAAGAAAAAAATTGTGACCGTACGATTTTTTATCAACAATCTACGTGCGTTGATCTCTAAGATCTCCAAAAAGGAGATCCGGCGAGAATCCAAATCCAAAGTATCGAACCCGAAACGTTACATTAATTTTAGTTTGAATCAAAAAACTTCCTCTGTAAGTTTGAATCAGAAAACTTCCTCTGTAAGTTTTCAATTGTATTGACTGAATGATTACTTTACACACTGTGTAGATATATGGATATATATATATATATATAGCCTTTGGCTATTTACATAGATACCCCTGACTACTTTTAGGGCTGGTTTGGTATTGTTGTGCTTTAAAAAAAGCTGATGTGAGAATAAGCGTTTGTGCTGTGAGAATAAGTGGTTGTGCTGTGAGAATAAGCGGCTGTGAAAAAAATCAGCAGAGTGTTTGGTAAACTTTTTTGTAAAAGTGCTTTTGAAAAAAAAAACTGTCTGATAGTGGGTCTTTTCATTAAAGGAGCACTGTAGCTCCGTGTGCTTTGAAAAAAAACCAGTTTTCCAAAGCTGCAAATAGCAGCTTCAGCTTTTTTCTTTGATTTCAGCTTATTCTCACAACAGCTTCCAAAATAAGCCATTTTTTTCAATTTACCAAAAACCTAAAACTCTCACAGCTTTTTTTCATGGGTGTTTTTTTTTAAGCACCTCACTCCCAAACCACCCCTTATAGATGTCCTAACTAATCTCAACAGATACCACAACTAATTACATTCAGTTATAAAATTATTAACAGTAACAGAATTGGATGACTTGTCATTCTCCATAATACACCCCTTCAAGCTAGAAAGGGAATTAGAAATGAGTCCAATTGGAAGCTTGGAACACATATAGGTGAATCTGTTTTTTAGATAGGGACTTGGTATGAAGATCAGCCAATTGGTCTTCACCGCAAATAAATCATACTTGAAAGAGTTTTGCTAGAACCAATTCTCTAATATAGTGGTAATCAATCTCAACATGCTTTGTTCTAGCATGAAAGACAGGATTAGATGCTAATGAGATTGCTGAAATGTTGTCACACTAAAGAGTGGGCAATATAGATAGAGGATAGTGTAGATCTTTTAGAATTTTGCAAACCCAAGTGATTTCAAAAGTTGTGTGAGCTAAGGAGCGATATTCAGCCTCTGTAGATGACCGTGCAACAGTACTTTGTTTCTTGGCACTCTAGTTGATAAGATAAGAACCCAGGAAGACACAATAGACAATGGTTGATCGCCTGTCAAATGTGCAGCCAGCTCAATCAACATCAGAGTATACTGAAAGATGGACAAGACCTTTAGTGAACCACAAACCATGGGAAAGAGAACCTTTGAGAAATCTAATAATCCTTTTGGTTGCCTGAAGATGTTGCTCTCGGGGATCATGCATGAATTGGCAGATTTAGTTCACAGCAAAGGCAAAATCCGGTCTAGTCCAAGTTAGATATTGTAAACCACCAACAATGGAACGAGATTCAGTAGGATTGGACAAGAGAGGCCCAATATGATCTAGTTTCTTAGATCCAAGAGGAATGCAACAAGGTTTTGCACCCTCCATGTTGGAGAATGACAAGTCATCCAATTCGTTTGGTCGCTTCAATCCTTAAAATAATTGAAACCCATAGATTTCTAAAATGTCAACCTATGCAAATTTGTGCTATTATATAGCTTTTGTGTCTAAAGGTCCAACAAAGTGACACTTTTGTCCTTAAAAGAGTCACATGGTGTCCTTATGAAAATGAATCCAGAACAAAATCGCGCTAAAGCTAGGGCGTCACCCGTAAGTGGCGCGCTGTGTGGCCCGAGCACAGTGATAAGTGAGCAAGGGTCGCTGTATCTCCATCGGCACCCGGATGCAGTGTTAAATGAGCAAGGGGGCCATAGAAACTTCTTTTCGAACGACTCCACTCAAAGTTGTTTGGGAGCATATGCTCCTATCAACTTTACCCGGGACACACAAAAGAAGTACTTTGATCCTATTAGACGGGGGAGGGTGAAGAAGCTAGGACAGAAGGGTAGAGTTCAAGAGAGCAAAATGCGTTTAGGAACGTGGAATATAGGAACCTTAACGGGAAAATCTATGGAAGTAGTGGAAGTTATGGTGAGGAGAAGGATAAATATTATGTGCCTACAAGAAACTAAGTGGGTTGGTAGTAAGGCAAAAGATCTAGAAAACTCAGGGTTTAAACTTTGGTATTCGGGCACAAATAGAACGAGAAACGGTGTTGGCATCATTGTGGACAAGACCTTGGTACAAGATGTTGTAGATGTCAAGAGGGTAGGAGATAGAATCATGGCAATCAAGATTGTAATAGGACAAGAACTTATCAATGTGATTAGTGCGTACGCACCTCAAGTAGGGTTGGATACGAGTTCGAAGGATAAATTTTGGGAAGATCTTGGAGACTTGGTGCAAGGAATTGCTCAGACGGAGAAGTTATTTATAGGAGGAGATTTAAATGGACACGTGGGCAGGGAGACAGGCAACTATGGAGGTTTTCATGGTGGCCATGGTTTTGGGGAGAGAAACGAGGATGGGGAAGCTATCTTGGATTTTGCAATGGCATATGATCTCTTCTTAGCCAACACCTTCTTTAAGAAGAGAGAAGAACATGTGATCACCTACAAGAGTGGGTCTTCAAAAACACAAATAGATTTTCTTCTAATGAGGAAAGGGGATCGTATAACTTGTAAGGATTGCAAAGTTATACCAGGAGAGAGCGTGGCTAATCAACATCGCTTGTTGGTGATGGATGTACATATCAAAAGAGTAAGACAAAAAGAACAAGACTTGGAAGTGCCCAAGGACTAGATGGTGGAATCTAAAAGAAGAAAAAACAAGTCATTTTCAAAGAGAAAATAATCACCCAGTGTGTGTGGGATAGAGAGGGGGAAGCTAGCCAAATGTGGGATTCCATGGCTAGTTGTATTCGAAAAGTAGCAAAAGAGGTATTAGGAGAGTCCAAGGGCTTTGCCCCACACCAAAAGGAATCTTGGTGGTGGAATGAGGAGGTACAAACAAAGGTGAAGGCTAAGAAGGAATGTTGTAAAGCCTTATACAAGGATAGGACCGATGAAAATGGTGAAAAGGTATAGAAAAGCGAAGCAAGAGGCGAAGAAAGCTGTGAGAGAAGCTAAGTTAGCGGCTTATGACGATATGTATAAGCGACTAGATACCAAAGAAGGAGAGTTGGATATCTATAAACTTAGCTAGAGCAAGGGAAAAGAAGACAAATGGACCTAAACCAAGTGAGGTGCATCAAGGATGAGGATGGAAAGGTTCTTGCTACAGAGAACGCGGTTAAAGACAGATGGAAAGGTTATTTTCATAATCTTTTCAATGAAGGACATGAAAGGAGTGCTTCTTTAGGGGAGTTGAGTAACTCAGAAGAGTGTAGAAACTACTCTTTTTATCGTCGAATCCGGAAGGAAGAAGTGGTTGTAGCTTTGAAGAAGATGAAGCATAGAAAAGCAGTAGGCCCAGACGATATACCAATCGAAGTGTGGAAAGTTTTGGGAGAGACAGGTATAACATGGCTCACTGACCTTTTCAATAGGATTTTGAAAACGAAGAAGATGCCAAATGAGTGGCGAACGAGCACTTTGGTGCCTATCTACAAGAATAAGGGCGACGTACAAAATTGCATGAACTATAGGGGTATTAAGCTAATGAGTCATACAATGAAGCTCTGGGAGAGAGTCATTGAGCATAGATTGAGGCAAGAGACACGGGTTTCGGACAACCAATTCGGGTTCATGCCAGGGCGCTCAACCATGGAGGCAATCTATCTCTTACGAAGATTGATGGAAAGATATAGAGATGGGAAAAAGGATTTACACATGGTCTTTATAGATTTGGAAAAAGCGTATGATAGGGTCCCAAGAGACATTCTTTGGAGGATTTTAGAGAAGAAAGGAGTACGAGTAGTAGCATATATCCAAGCTATAAAGGATATGTATGAAGGAGCAAAGACTGCCGTAAGAACTCATGAAGGACAAACCGAAAGCTTTCCCATAACTGTAGGATTACATCAAGGCTCATCCTTAAGTCCTTACCTTTTTGCGTTGGTAATGGATGAGTTAACAGGACATATTCAAGATGATATTCCTTGGTGTATGCTTTTCGCAGACGAATATAGTGTTGATAGATGAAACTCAGGAAGGGGTAAATGCAAAGCTTAACCTTTGGAGAGAAGTGTTGGAATCTAAAGGTCTTCGCCTAAGCCGATCAAAGACAGAATATATGGAGTGCAAGTTCAGTGCAAATGGAGGCCAAAACGAGTTAGGGGTGAGGATCGGAGATCAAGAAATACCAAAGAGCGACCGTTTTCGTTACCTAGGATCTATCTTGCAAAAGAACGGAGAATTAGATGGAGATCTCAACCATAGAATACAAGCTGGATGGATGAAGTGGAAGAGTGCATCCGGCGTGTTGTGTGACCGCCGTATGCCACTGAAGCTCAAGGGAAAATTTTATAGGACGGCAATAAGGCCGGCGATGCTGTATGGCACAGAATGTTGGGCGGTGAAGCATCAACACGTACACAAAATGGGTGTAGCGGAGATGAGGATGCTTCGTTGGATGTGTGGGCACACGAGAAAGGATAAGATTAGGAATGAGGATATCCGGGGTAAAGTAGGAGAGTAGCCGAAATTGAAGGAAAGATGAGAGAAAATCGGTTACGGTGGTTTGGACATGTGCAAAGAAGGCCTACTGACGCTCCGATTAGAAGATGCGACTATGGGACAGAG